GTACCCAGGCAGCTGACTCACGTGTCTGTTTCCTTCTGGACTTTGCTCTAAGCACTGTCTCTGCCAGGTTGCAGCCGTGCTGCAAGCACAGCTTTGCACCCCTGCTGCCCTGCTGTTTGTATCGTGACGTTGTGACATCCCGGCTGCCTGGACTGTGCCCACAGGTGGTCGGTCTGGAGCCCTGGTGTGTGGTTTTGTGGTGTCATCTGAATGTGGGCAAGCAAGCAGCTTCTTAGTCTGGAGAGGAATCAAAGGCCAGATCGAGACCAGATCCCCGAAGGCAGCTGTGCTGGCAGGTCCGGGTCACAGGTCTGGCAGGTGTCCCTGAGAACAGAACAGAGAACAGCATCGTAAGGGTCATTCACAGCCACAGGGCGCCCTCGGGGGCCTGGGGTCATGGGGGGTGTGGAAAGTAGTGACCCGGGGCAAGGCGCAGACCCAGGGGCCCCCCACCGCCCAGTTTCATAGAAGCAGACGCCCGAGGAGGTCCGCCGTTTGTGCGTGGCCTCACTGCTGGCGTGTGCTGGGGACGGGATTTGAACTCTGGCATCCCTGTTAGCCAGCGGACACGGGGTCGTTAGTGGTGGCAGCAGTGCTGGGGCCCTGCAGGGCTTTGCCGGGAGTTACCTTGGTCGCTGTGCCGAAAAGCTGAGCTCGCAGTCTGCTCCCTTTAGTCAGCCTGTGTGACTGCAGGCGCTGCTTACGTGCTTTCCAAGAAAGTGGTGAACCACGGCCAGCGAGAAGCAGCAGCTTCCTGTTTTTCTGTTACCTTGAGTGCTTTGCTTTCTTCTTTCAAAATTCCTTGACGTTGGCCTGCTGAAGCATCTTTGTTTCAGGAGCACATCTGGGGACCCATGTACTCCCTGCAGCAGAGGGTGCAGGCATGTGGCCTGGTGGGGCGGTCCTGGTAGCAGCCCAGCCTAGTAAAGGTGGGGAGCCCTACCAGGGGTGCTGGGAGGCGCCTCTGAGCCTCCTCTTAGCCGGTATTTTGAGGGAAACATTGGGCTTTTGTAGGCTCCTTGTTCACCCTCTCCTGTGAGCCTTCTCAGCCAGGGTAGCGGACAGGAGAGGATGCACGTGAGCCCACCACGTACAGAGTTCTCAACCGCGGCACGTGAAGACGGCCCTCCTCCCCATGGGATCCGTCTCAGCCTCAGGAGAAGGGTAGTGCCACACTAGCTCCTTGAGTGATTAGCTGGTGCTCACAGGCCTGTCTTCCCTCCAGAGGGTGGCTGGGTCTGCGATCCGAGAGCAGGCGTCCTGCAGACATGTGCCCCGGTCCCTGGGAGTGCTGGACCCTCAGATCCCCAGAGCAGGGCCGGGGCCAGGCTCAGGTGGTGGGAAGGGTCCATTCAGGCCCGTCTCACAGCCCTTCTGTGTTCCCTGTCATGTGCCCAGGCACAAGAGGCTCTTTGTGGCCGAGATGCTGTCGCTAAGGCGGGAGCATCCCCCTGGACGCCGCGCGCGCAGCTGACACCTCTGTGTAGCTCAGCTGACATTTGGGGCTGGTGGCTGTGAATTCCGCCATCTGCGGAACTGAGAGCTGTACATCCGTTTATAAAAACCACAGCATTTGGGGGAATACCCTTTGTCTTCATTTCCACATTGATGTGGTAAGCTATTTCCGTAGGCGCTGGCCATGTGTCACTCTAACAGCATCAGCTCTGGTGGATGCAAACGTGAGCCTTTGCCTTTGAAGTCAGGCTGGCCCTGCAGGTGTGCTGAGGGTGCAGGGGACAAGGGAGGCCTCACTTCTCCAGCAGGTCCCTGTTCCGTGCCCTGGCCCACTCACCGCCAGCTCCTGGCCGAATCAGGCCCCGTGGCAGCATGGCCAGGTAGCAGCTGCCCGCCAAGATGGGGCTTTCTTTTCAGAGCACTTTTTGGGGTGTGGAGTGGGGTTTGAGGTTTTCTTCTTTATTCACTCCTGGTTTCTTTTTGAGAGTAAATGAAGGCTGTTGGATGTGCCGTGTTGTTACAGACAGGGTTTTGTGAAGCAGTCTGAGATTCTTTGTGAGGAAGAAGGCTGGGAACGGGCAGCCTGCGTGGCTGTGATCTAGATGAAGGAGCCACATTTGGCAGGGGAGTCTCTCCCAACACTACCCTGTCCACCCACCCTCCTCAACCTCCCCCCAACACCCACCTCAACCTCCCCCCACCTCAAC